AAAAAAGTGTCGTTTACGAAATTTTCGTGGAGTGGAAAAAGAAAAGAAAAAGATTGAAAATTCATTTTTGAAATAAATTCTACAAAAAAAAGACAATTCCCGGTTGTGTGACACTTTCAGTTTAATGTAGATTTTTTTCAATTTCTCTAATATTTTGGGGCGTCCGTGGCCGAGTGGTTAAGGTCGTTGACTTCAAACCACTTGCCCCTCACCTCTGTGGGTTCGAATCCCGACAGGAACTTTGGATTCTTTCATGTGAGGAAGCTATCCAGCTAGCTTACGGAACGTCGGTGGTTCTACTCAGGTACCCGTTCGTGCCTGAAATAATGCACGGAAGGGCACCTGAGGTCTTCCTCCACCAGTAAAGCTGGAACGTCGCGATATGACCTATACTGTGTCGATGTGACGTAAAACCCAAAACAAACAAACAAAAAAAACTCTAATATTTCAACGCCTGGTGTACGCAGTATCCAGAATCTAAATCACATACAACGTGAAATACTGAAGAAAAAAGGAAGAGTTAAATACATTTGAAGGGTCAATGCATTTGGAAAACTAAAACTAGAGGTAGGGGGATCTTATTTGCATAAGAAATTTAATTTCAATCTATTCTGATTGTTTCACATGACTCGTTATTGTTCAAAATATCGTGTTAGCGGTATCAGAATTTTGAGAATGCGCGCGCATCATGTGGCGCCCTAGTTATTTCTCTCTCTTTCTTATAAAAAGAAGCAGGTTTAAAAGTATTAATTTTATTTTAATTTTCAGTAATTATGGAAAAACACAAAGAAGAGAAAATTAGTATTGTGGTTTCTAAAAAAAGAACCTGTATCTCATACAGCTTATCTTGTGCATACGCGGCAATTATCTTGTAGCTTTCAGCTGCCGTATTAGTTTCATTATTTTTTCAGTCATTGTCAGTCATTGTCACTTCGGTTATCACTGCAGAATCATAACATGCTATTACACGTCTTTAGCACAACAAGTGCTTATATCGCACATAATGCCTAATACACGATTTTTTATCTTTTGAAAGTACAAGGTTGGGTTTTAATCTTTAAATCTGGTTTAACTATTAATTTAACATACGATGCGGTCCTATGTATATTCATTATCTTCAAAGGATGCTATGCACCTGTTGATAGCAACATTATCAGAAGCACTGTTGGTATTTTCTTTAATCATTTCCCTCATAACATATTGTGAAAAATGGCCGTTTTCATTGAAAAACCTCAAGTTACAAGTTCAAACTGCTATACAACTATGAAAAATGCTCCAATACTAATCAAACTTGGCACAGGTATTGACTGAACCTTTGCCTTTGCAACGACATTCTAAGGCATAAATTTCCTGTTACCATGGCAACGAGGGTTCATCTCAAAATTGCCAGGAAACACTTTTTTGCATAGATTTTTTTCCGTCAAAATTGATTTCAAAGTGCTGCATCTTCTCAATGGATTGAGATAATGTCAAAGGCTTTTCAGGGTTGGTTACACATTAACTAACAATGGACCTTGGGTCATTTTTAGCCTCTCACAAGTCCAAAACTTTCTTGGCGATGAGGGGGACTACCGCCCAATTCAAACTCTAAACAGAAGGAAGCACACACCCCTTCTGGCGAACCCTGATGTACCTTTTTGATAGGGGGCGGCGCCGAAAAGTGAGCATTTTTTAGCAACATTTCCCAAACAAAAGCAGTGTGTAGGGCCTAAATAGGGGAATTTTTCACTATTTGAGGCATCAAAGGGGGGTCAAATAGCGGTCAAAACACGTCTTTATGATGTAAAGGGTTAACCTATAATTATACAACATTATAATTTGTACAAATAATTTAATGAAACAATCTACATTATTCTTTAACCTGATATCATTTTATATAATTAGAAGTTTTCTCCTAAACTTAAATTACTATTTTTGTCCTAAGTGGGAAGAATGCCCATGATTTAATCACACTAATTGCGGGTGTCCCTCGAAACCCTTATCAACAATATAAACATGAAATAGTAATTGTTTGAATTTGTAAGCACTTTAGTGATCTGATCAAAACTGAATAAATTAAGTGATATATATCAAGATTTTGAAACTATTAGAACAAAAATATACAAACACATATATGACACTGATCTGTCTTCTTCTTCTTTGTTATTTTTCAAATGTCCCTTGTGCAGTCTTAAAATAGATAAAATTATAATGTTTAAGATATAACAAGCTCCATTTTGTTCAGTAGCGCTTTGCTGTCTGAATACATCTTCAGTCGAAACTTTCATAAACGATATCACACAAATGATATAAAGTGAACGTCTTATAAAGTTTTGACAATTTAAGCAAACTTCTGTAAAGAGACCTTGTCAGTCAAGGTCAAATAAATGACAACATCAGTTATTATCTTAAAAAAATTGTAAAGATGTTTAAATCGAATTCATAAATTAATAAATGACAAAGAAATAGTAAATTATGCACTTGTTTGACCTTTTGTGACAGGGTAAAATAAATGTCAAATACAGTGAATGTTTATTTCATTTAAATTTTCTTTAAAGCGTCACCCGAAAAATTGTTCTGCAAATTTATGAATACCTAATAAATATTCACAGAGATAATTCTAAATAATTAGTATAACAGTATTAGTTCCAGGACGCAATATGTTCTGTAGCAAAATCAATTAGTCTCAGTAAATGAAATGAAAATTTAAAAGAAGATCCTGGACAGGGTCAATCATGAATATCTTAACAATGGTTGAAATAGATTCAATGCTATTGACACAATGTACTTGTACTAAAATAATTATTCTTGCTACTCAATCGACAAAATATATCACATGTATATGTAAAATATCAGACATGCCCAACTGTTAAACAATACAAATAAAAATACAGGTTCTGTTTGAAATGGACATTGTTTTCTGAATAAAGTTTAAATATCATTCAACATTTTTGTCACGTACTTTTATATTATAATGTTATAAAATGACTATTTTGATTTTAAATCGCAAAATCAATAACATCTAAAACTGTTTAATACGCATTTGTGATTCAAATGTCGTCCATTTGATATACGCTTTATATCTGGAAACCGCAGTCGACAGGAAAGTAAAATTCCACCACAAGATCAATTACTTGTTATCCCCGTTAAACGCCCCTTTCTAAGAGTAAGGAATTCTAGTGTAATTTTGTTGTGATAAATGCTTCCAAAGGATCACTTTGTTTCCAAATTTTTATCCTGCCTTTATTCAACCGGCGATAAGTCAAAGCTGATTGCCCCTGAGAACACAAAAGATAAGGCTTTGTTATAAAAAAAAATGTTACACAACAACATTTAAGAAATTTTGGTTTGATCTAATTCTGAGATATTTAGCAAATAAATGGTAAAACAATGATATAATATATTTAAAAATTGCATAAAAATTGATGAATACTTATTTTGTTCTAGACCGATCTGCTATAATAAATATTATTTTATTGTATTATTGTTTTAGCCTAAAACTTTAGCATGTATGCACCTAAAATACAACTGGTAAGAGTTCATTCTCTGTGTCCATAGGTTACTTAAAGACAATTTCAGGAGTGTATCAAAATACATCATTATTCAATAGATTAATTAGTAAAGGTCAGGTTGCCTATAGGAAAATGTCAATGGTTATGATGGTGGACACTTTATTACTCAGAAATAGATAAATTTTTCCCCTTTTGGAAAACAAAAATATAAATTGTACTACTTTAAGTTATTGTTTAAGAGCATGCTAGTTGTTAGTTTTCCGTGCCCCTTTTTGATTTATAAAATACTATCCTACAATAGTTTCCTGCTTTAGATTTATACAGAATGTTTTATTGTTTGCTTCCAGTACCGTTACCTGCTGATTCTTGATTAAAAGAATATGAATTTACTCCTGCTACTGTATCGTATTTTTAAAATTGTTAAGAATATTATCATTATTATAATCATCATTATTATATTATTATTATTATTATTATTATTATTATTATTATTATTATTATAATTATTATTATTGATTATTATTATTATTATTATTATTATTATTATTATTATTATTATTATTATTATTATTATTATTATGCACTGTATACCTTCATGTTCAACAAAACTTAGATAATATTACATATTAAGATTGGCCATAAGCAACATATTATTCTGTGATGATACAAGTGAGCAAACATTTCGGAGGGTACGTCAGAAATATGCATGAAAAATATAACTTAAAGATGTCATATCAAGACATGCATTAAGATAATACAATACTTTTTCGAACTATTTGGTTAAACGGATACTAAAAATATTTAATATATATAAGAACTGAAACAAATAAAAATCAGACACTAATATAACCGTGCAAATCGATTAGATCATATCGTTTCAAGATTGAATACAACTTAACTTTACTTAAATCATCTTACTTAAATATGAGTTAAAGTTGTCATTTTGTATAATAGAGATATTTCATATAATTAAAACTGCAACTGATATACAGAAGAAAATACCACATGCATGCACTCAAAATAAAACCTGTTGGTGTAAAATGTGACTTAACATCTGAAATATTTGTTAAAAACTGAAATATGTGTCGCTCGATCTTGGCAAAATATTTATTTTCTTACAAATCTGTTTTTTTTATTTAAGTCATTTTTTTTATTATAAGTACACACGTGTTTTTATATGGGTAAAGAAATTTAGTGAATTGCACAACACAAAACACCTGTAAATCATTAGTTTGCTATTTAATTTGACAAACGAAATTCAGGTTGTCTACCATAGATAGCTGAATATTTGTGATATCTATTACCTATGATATAGGAGTTATTGATTGTCTATTCTAGCTTTTCAACAAAATGTAAACATACAAATTAAATATAATAATATTTACATGATGATGGAGCAAAGGTAGAATGTTTTTTTTTCCCACCCAATACAACAGAGAAAATCATTTGATGGTAGTTCTCCATTGGGTCGCTGACAGTATCTGTCTCCATTTTTTCAAAGTTTTTTTTCAGTGCTTGTATTCTAAATATTCAAACAGGATTACAATTCAACTGTTATTATGATTTTAAAATATATCAGGAATTACAAATTGTGTGTTGTTCTGTTTTTGATATTAGCTCTTTTAATAGGTTTATACCCAAGTTTTGTCAATAACGGTGAGCACAATACATTTCAATCAGAATGGCACCAGCTTCAGCCTTCAAAGGAAAGAAAAATTTCAAGTTTGGATAACATACGGGAAACAAAGAAACTTTCAAATAAAGATGTCGAAAACAAGAAAAGCGTTTCCTCTAGAAGGAACGCAAAAATATTAACTAAAAAAAAAAAATGACAGTACTATAAAGCTTAAATTTGAAACAAATGTAGAAATTGGAAAAGGTAATATTACCCGCATTGGAAACGGTAAAACAGAAACTGGTGAGTGCACGAAGAAAGAAGTTGTATTGTCTCAAACAACAATGCCTATCACGGGTCTAGTCAGTTTTCCAGGATCTGGTAATACGTGGACCCGACATCTAATACAGCAAATGACAGGTATAAAATATACATTTAACATTGTGACAAAGTTTTTATTTGTCAGACCCGAAATAATTGGTGTGAAACAATAAAAACGATAACTTCAAATTAAAATCATCTCAGTTCTATTTCAATAAATGTGCCACAAAATAACCAAAGATGACTTTGATAATGATGTATATGATTTAAGACGCATGCGGTATTCAGTTATTTACTATACTATGTGATACATTGAGTTCAGCCTTTAATGCAATTTAAATATAATTTCTAAATACTGACATTTCCCCTGTATTATTTGTATGTAAAGGCACAGTATGTCTCAGGAACAAATATTTTACATCTTCATTACAGACAAATATTAAAAAAAAACACTTTTTTAAAACTTAAAGCATTATATTACAGGATTTGGCACATCCAGTGTGTATTGTGATCAAAACCTCAGAGTGAACGGTTTTCCGTATGAATGTCAACATGACAAAACAAAAACTGTAGTTGTTAAAACTCATTATACACGGCAGTTTGAAATGTTCTCAAAGATAATTTTGCTCCTACGAAATCCATATGACGCCCTCCTTTCTTTTTCAAACTTTATAAAGGCCGGACACACAGGTCATTCATCGGAAAAAGTTTTGATTGAAGGTAAAGTTCATATAAAAAACGTATTAATAAATACATTTAGTTTGTATTATAGGTATTTTTAAATGTGTGAACATGTTAAGGAAAACACAAAACAAGTGACTTATAAGATCATATTTTCGTTTCGCTTTTAAATTTTGTTTAAATAACCCTATTGTAAATGGTATCGATATGTTTGCTAGCATGCGGTTAAAATCATATTATGAAAGGTTAACCTATATATCTTCATTATTGTTATTAATATAATTAATACACATGTACGTATATCTATGAAATTTCCCAACATATTTTTTGGATCTTACAGAAATCAATAGGACGTTCGATCGCAGGTTACGTTGGTATGTCGATCTGACAAGAAACACAATAAAGAAATTCAAAGGACCAGTGCACGTTTTGCAGTATGAAAAACTTCAAACAAACATGTCACGTGAGTTGAAGAAACTTGCGTCCTTCTTTGATTTAAATATCTCTGATAGAGATATAGAATGTACTGTACAACTTCAGGAGGGCAATTTTCACCGTTTGACAAAAGAAAAGAAACATTTAGAACTTTTGCGAGCCGTCTTTTCAAAGGAAAAACTATTACGACTGCAAGCAGCAGCGAGGTATTCTGAAAAAATGATAAAAAATGCTTATAATATAAATGTTTACCTGGGTGGTCAAACCGAGAAAATCTTACTACAAGGTTTCTAATGTGAATGAGATTTTTATGTTGTCTGTGTCTATGTCATTGAACAATTATTTAAATTGATCGTTCCTAACTAAATTGCAACAACAAATCCTACTTCTATCTTGCTGTAAAATGGGGATGGTTACAAAAAAGACAGTATTGAAGAGAGTTAAAATTAAATTCTGAAACAAATTTTATCACTAAGAAAAATGTTGAAGAGTGTGTTATGAAATAAATAATTTCACTAATAGTCTTCGATTAAATTGCAATTTTGTTTTTGTCACTTTACTCGTATGGAAATGGCTAGTCGTACGGGCTCATGCTACTTGCCATAAATTATCGCCTTATGTTAGTCAAATACGAGTATCGATTTTTAATCTATTTCAATGAAACGATTTGCGAATATTGCTACTTATGAAAATGTTTATATAGGCAGTGTTTCCTTGCACCAAATAACATTCAGGAAAAATTTATTAAATGGTTTATAAACAAAACTTTTAAGCGCCAGACACAACTTTTTCTAACAAACAGCCATATACCCAGCACCCTATTATCTTTCCCCATTCTAAATATATTCGTTGCTTTTCTCTTATCTAATATAATATTATTTTTGTTCATCGGAAAGCAAAGGGACCTGGTCCCTCCGGACTTATAGCCGGTATTAGCTTCACAAAGGAAGGGGTATCAGTTGACGACGCCCAACTCATTGTCGCCCGGTTTTGCTAAAAATTTATCGTCCCTAAAGACCGCACGTAGTCATGAACCAAAGCAATATTAGACGCAGTGTCAATGATTCATATTTCATTACACATAGTCAAACGTTTTTTTTTCAATGAATCAGTCAACCACCCACCAATCATCATCATCCATCGCCGTCATCGAGCACCATCCAGCCCCCGGGCCAAACAAAAAAATCTAAAAACAAAAAATTTTTTCAAAACCCAAATTTTTATGTCCTTTTTTAAAAAATTTACCATACAAAAATTTGTTTATAAATTCATTTTTTGGGTTTTTTAAAATATCCAAATAAAAAGGGTTAGGGTTAGGGTTAGGGGTTAGGGTTAGGGTTAGGGTTAGGGTTAGGTTAGGGTTAGGGTTAGGGTAAGAGCTGAATGGCGTGGATGCCCAAATGGGCATTCGAATGATGCCCAAAATGAATTTGATTGGTCAATATTATCACATGGTAACAATGTGCTATTTATAGAATATGCTTTATATAGAATGCATTATATTTTATATAAAATATGCCATTTTATTCTCGCTATCCTGAACAGACGGACGGACGGATGTTTAATATTTTTGTTGTATATTTTAGAGGAGACTCTTGCGTACAATATGTGATATCATTTATAAAAGTATCTTTATTAATAATGTCATTATTAATAATTGAAAATGACGTAAGACAGCAATTTTCATATAAGAATGTGTTTAATATATCATTGTTGTGAGTTCCTTTAAATCCTTACTGAGACTTCCGTAATTGACTGAAATACTTTAAAATGGTCTACTTTTGTCGCCAAGATGTGTACCTATATAACCCTGCATGTTATGTGTATATATCTATTCTCTGGGACTCGAACCGGGTTGCAAACCCTTTAATAATCTGTTAAAAAGTGGAAAAGTACAACTTACAAAGCAGACAAGTCACCTTCAAAGACTTGCTGAGAGCCCTGTAGTCGTCGCAGGCACCTGAAAATAGTCTCAAATTGTAGCCAAGATCCGTGCATACACGACGCTATATAATAATTATATATTTGTAGCCTATGGGACTCGGACCGATTAAAAAAACTATTAATAATGATGAAAATAACGGCTAAATACAAGTTCGAACCCTGATCGGGCTGTTTCAAATCGTTACTGAGACATCCCTGTTTGACTGAAATGCTTAGAAATGGTCTCATTTTGTCGCCAAGATGTGCACCTACACAGCCCTGCATGTTATGTGTATATATCTAGTCTCTGGGACTCGAACCGGGTTGCAAACCCTTTAGTTATATGTTAAAAAGTGGAAAAGTACAAGTTGAAAATCAGACAAGTCAACTTCAAACACTTGCAGAGACCGCTGTAGTCGTCCCAGACACCTGAAAATAGTCTCAAATTGTGTCCAGGGTCTGTGCCTACACGGCGCTATATAATAATCATATATATGTAGGCTAATGGGGCTCGGACCGATGAAAAACCTATTAATAATGCTGAAAATAACGGCTAAATACAAGTTCGAACCCGGACAAGTCACCTTCAAGGACTTGCTGAGACCCCTGTAGTCGTCCTAGATACATGAAAGTGGTCTCATTTTGTTGCCAGGATCTGCACCTTGACAACCCTGCATGTTATGTGTATATATCTATTCTCTGGGACTCTAACCGGGTTGCAAACCCTTTAGTAATCTGTGAAAAATGAAAAAGTACAACTTGAAAAGCAGACAAGTCAACTTCAAACACTTGCAGAGACCGCTGTTGTCGTCCCAGACACCTGAAAATAGTCTCAAATTGTAGCCAGGATTCGTGCCTACACGGCGCTATATAATAATAATATATATGTAGCCTAATGGGGCTCGGATCTATGTAAAACCTATTAATAATGATGAAAATAACGGACAAATACAAGTTCAAACCCGTACAAGTGACCTTCAAACACTTGCTGAGAGCCCTTTAGTCAACCCAGACACCTGAAAATAGTCTCAAATCGTAGCCAGGATCATTGCCTACACGGCGGTATATAATAATAATATATATGTAGGCTAATGGGGCTCGGACCGATTAAAAAACCTATTAATAATGATGAAAATAACTGATATTTTCTATTACTCTTAACCCCTTACCTTACCTATTACCCCTTACTCATCCTAACCGCGAATTTGAAGCATATCCTTACTGGGTTAACCTACCTTATACCTTACTCACTACCTTACCTACCTTACCTAGTACCTTACCTATTACCCCTTACTCATCCTAACCGCGAATTTGAAGCATATCCTTACTGGGTTAACCTACCTAGTACCTTACTCACTACCTTACCTATGGGTTAGGGTTAGGGTTAGGGTTAGGGTTAGGGTTAGGGTTAGGGTTAGGGGTTAGGGGTTAGGGTTAGGGTTAGGGTTAGGGTTAGGGTTAGGGTTAGGGTTAGGGTTAGGGTTAGGGTTAGGGTTAGGGTTAGGGTTAGGGTTAGGGTTAGGGTTAGGGTTAGGGTAAGACCTGAATGGCGTGGATGCCCAAATGGGCATTCGAGTGATGCCCAAAATGAATTTGATTGGTCAATATTATCACATGGTAACAATGTGCTATTTATAGAATATGATTTATATAGAATGCATTATATTATATATAACAATATGCCATATTATTCTCGCTATCCTGAACAGACGGACGGACGGATGTTTAATATTTTTGTTGTATATTTTAGAGGAGACTCTTGCGTACAATATATATGATATCATTTATAAAAGTATCTTTATTAATAATGTCATAATTAATAATTGAAAATGACGTAAGACCTCAATTTTCATATAAGAATGTGTTTTAATATATCATTGTTGTGAGTTAGTTGAAATATGTATTTTAGCCATTTTTTTGTGGACGTATTTATTTGATGAGAGAATAAATATCAAGACACAAGACAACAGCAGGGACTCTTGCTCTCTTCATATTGAAAACTACGATGATGATGATGATGATGATGATGATGATGATGATAATGATAATGATGATGAAAGTGATGATGCTGCTGATGTTGATGATGAAAGTTATGATGAAAGTGATGATGATGATTATGATGATGATGATGATGATGATGATAGTGATGATGATGATGATTTTGATGATGATGATTTTGATGATGATGTTGATGATGAAAGTGATGATGATGCTGATTATGATGATGATGATGATTATGATGATGATGAAGATGATGATGATGATAGTGATGATGATGATGATGATGATGATGATGATGATGATGATGATGATGATGAAAGTGATGATGAAAGTGATGATGAAAGTGATGATGAAAGTGATGATGATGATGATGATGATGCTGATGTTGATGATGATGATGATGATGAAGATGATAATGTTGATGATGATGATGATGATGATGATGTTGATGTTGATAATGAAAGTGATGATGATGATGATTATGATGATGATGATGATGATTATAATGATGTTCATGATGATGATGATTATGATGATGATGATGATGATATTCATTTTTTGATTGATGATTATATGAGCATGAAAAACTGTTAGAGTTTAAATGTAGGAGCCATGAAATATTACATTGCTGTAACGTCATTTATGTCTATGTTAATATGTAAAAAAAGGCGCGAAACAGAACAAAGGATCTATTTTTTTAGATTCTTATTTCATCTCCTATATATTACTTACACTTGCCAGTATTTTCATTCAGTTGTCTGACTTTCTCTCTCTCTCTCTGTCTCTTACAGTATGGTTTTTCCTTGTGTTCTTGTTCTGGTGTCAAGGGGGGATTTTCCCTCCTTCGACCGTGTGGTGCATTCATGGGAGATGGAGGTGGTGGAGGTTGAGATTTACGGCCGGTTAGGGTTAGGGTTAGGGTTAGGGTTAGGGTTAGGGTTAGGGTAAGAGCTGAAATGACGTGGATGCCAAATGGGCATTCGAATGATGCCCAAAATGAATTTGATTGGTCAATATTATCACATGGTAACAATGTGCTATTTATAGAATATGCTTTATATAGAATGCATTATATTTTTATATAAAATATGCCATTTTATTTCTCGCTATCCTGAACAGACGGACGACGGACGGATGTTTAATATTTTTTGTTGTATATTTTAGAGGAGACTCTTGCGTAAATATGTGATTATCATTTTATAAAAGTATCTTTTATTAATAATGTCAAAATTATATAATTGAAAATTGACGTAAGACAGCAAATTTTCATATAAGAATGTGTTTATTATATCATTGTTGTGAGTAGTTGAAATATGTATTTTAGCCATTTTTTGTGACGTATTTATTTGATGAGAGAATAAAACATCAAGACACAAGACAACAGCAGAGACTCTTGCTCTCTTCATATTGATAACTACGATGATGATGAATTTGATGATAATGATAATGATGATTGATGATGATGAATGCTTGATGTTGATGATGAAAGTTTATGATGAAAGTGATGATGATGATGATGGTGATGACGAATGATGATGATGATGATGATGATAGTGATGATGATGATGATGAATGATTTTGATGATGATGA